AATTTACAGAAGAATCATATATTAAGTCAATTCCGAATATTAGTTTCTACAAAAAAATTACATAACATATAATTTAATTTTTTTCTATTTAATTACTATATTATATATTGCTACTAAATTTTATAAATGTTCTTAATGAATTCGAATTCTGTAATATAGATTGTATAGAATTTTATTAAAATTTTCAGAAATTCTATTCATTATTTTAGGAGCCGCAAAATGGCACTACAAAATTGATTAATTATCATAAATTTCAATGATGTTCCCATTAGACTAATGATTTAAAACAATTTCAATTTTGTTTTTATTTTTTAACAAACAAGAAAATATCTATGCAATTCTATATTTGACAAAAAAGTTGAATTAGAGAGTAACGTATAATATTCTTTCGAATTATATGAAATAATTACTATATATGTATATAGTATATATTAACTCTGCTTTATATTGATACATAAATAACAAATCAAATTCGTACCTTTTGTACATGTCTCCATTTTAAATTGTCAAAAAACAAAATGACATTTAAGTATAGAGATAAAGATTTGTATGATTTAGATTATTTTGCATGAATAATATTTTTAAATGATTTTAATAATTTTTTTATATATAGATGATTTGATCATGTCAATTTGTAAAAAAAAAATTAACAAACAAATAACAAACTTATAGATAGAACAAATTAATTTTAGTAATATAAATTCTAATTTCAGTTACTTCAACAGAATAAGCTTTATAGTATTAATTATTACAGAAATATTTCTTCGAAACTTCTTTCTTTCTTATAGCTTATAATTGATAAATTTAATTTTAAAAATGTAGCATAATTATCCAGTAAGAAAAATAGTTTAGTGTTGCGCTAATAATGTTAACAGTAATTTGTATATTTATAATATAAATAATAGTGAGTCATTGTTATAATGACACTAATAAAGATAGATAATTAAATACAATGTGTTTAAATACGATTTGTAAAAGCATTCTTACGCAAGATTGTAATAAGTTTTTTCTCTTTTCTATATTTATATATATATATAAATCAATTTTTTTTTGTTCAATAACATAGCAATACCATGTTTCGCAGAGGATAATTTCCATTCAATGACTTCAACGTCATTTATGTACTTAACAATTTATGTACAATACATATACACACGGCTTTTCTTCTCGATCTACTTTGTTATAAATTAGTGAAAAAATAATGCTGCTTTGGCCATGGTCTGCATATTGGTAATTATTATTTACCTATAACTTCGTTGCTAAATACCTACATTCGAATGCGGTTTATCGGATAATCCTCAAAATGGTCAAAAAACTTGAAATGTATATTTATTACAATCTCAACATCTGAATATGGTATTCAATATATTCACCACAATATAATATAATCTTTTCTCTAAAATTTCATTTACTTATCGACAGCGACGACTGGTATTAATACTTTGATTATTATCACTGTATTCAAGATAAATCTTTTCTGAAGCAAATAAATTTACTGATATTCAATACTCATATTCGTTTTTAAATTATTTTGTTTACTTTCAAAATTCTTTTCGATTTCATTTCATTTTTTTTTTGTTTTTATATCTTTATAATTTTATTATTCAGAATAATACGTTTTGACACAGTATTTAAAATATTTCTATTTTACAAATATCATAAAGCACCAAATATGTGTACTTAACAACAAAAACTGTTCCCTAATTGATTTCTTCTATTAATTAATTTTAATTAATCTTCTATTAATTTTCTTTTATACAATGTACACGAACTAAAATAATTCTCTTGTATTTTTATTTTATTTCAAGAAGAATTGTTAAATTATATATTATATAAAATGTATATGGAATGTTTCAATTATCCATATTGATATAATCAAAATTTAACTGAAATTACGGAGAAAATATATAGAAAAGATCATTTGTATGGAATGTAATACATTAATAGATTTTTTTTAAAAGATTGCAGTTAATTATCATTACTAAAATTCAAGAGATGTCAATTCAAAATTTTATCAACATTCAGATGAAATAACTTATTGAGTATCTAAGAGATGTGATATTCGTATTATGTAATTCATAAAACTTTGTTATTAAAAAATAACATTTGATTCTTATTCAACATTCATATAGACGTATTTTACGATAATATGGTAATCATGTTCATTTTTTTCATTTTACTACATTACAAGAAATAAAATAACTTTTTATATCAAGGCATATATATATATATATATATAAAACATCGAGGATCGTGTTACATCGAGGACATTCGTTATCTTCGATATAAATTAAGATAGAAGCTTTAATCAATATTAATTATATACTTATTCAAGTACAAGAGTAAACTGATCTTACGAAAGTACTGTACAATGAAAATAGTTGTCATGTGACACTAATTAAAATATATAACAAATATTTTGCTATTGTATTACCTACAATCCATTAAATCTTTTCATATATTTACGTTCCAATAAATTAATATTCCCGTTGCAACAAATAAACAACGATCTGTACATTTAATATAAAAATTAAACCTAAGGACGGAAAACAGAAAACGCTAAGACTAATCGGATGTTCGACGCCCATTGAATTCTTTTGTTATTTTAAAATAGTGAAATATTTAAATCTGCCATTATTTTCCTTATGCATATGCTATTTTTCAATGCATAAAAACAGTGGTCTAGCATTTTTTGTTATTGTAACATATCATAGCATTCTAAAGAATTCTTAAATTACAATAACTAGGATATGCCCAAACAACCACTTGTGCAAAAAATGTTCTTTTTTTTATGATACTGATACAAAACTCCTTATTTATATCTTGGACTATCGGGAGGCGTGGGTTGAGTATTCGCTCTCTGTTTCGGTCCAGTTTTAAATGACATCTTTTTCACAGGTCTGGGAGATATTCCATGAAATGCTGTACTATCAGGCGTATCATTACTAAACCATACTCTGCTCCCATCAGAAACTGGAAATAAAACCAATAAACTTGTTGTAATTGAAGTTAAATATTTATAGTTAGAAGTCATATAGAAGATAATTATATTGTATTATAATTATAAGTTTGTTATATAAATATGTTATCATATTGGAATAAAAAATTCACGTGCAACTTGCTAAAAAAATAATATATAATTATAAATAATATATAATTTAAAAAATTAGTCTATGCTACTTTCTTTGCATATAAATAAAATTTTGTAATTGAAGAAACTAGAAAAATTTTAGAAAAGTATTGAATTATTTTTTATATAAAATTGAAATAAAATAAATTTACATTTAATTTTTATGATATAATAGAAATATGAATTTATATTTATAAATGAGCACACTTATTTATAATTATAAGTAGCAAAAACTATTTGCAATGCACAATGCCATACACATATTATATTAAAAAATTAATTAATTTGTAGATATTTTTTTCATTTTTATAAATTCATTTATTAATTTTCAAAATATTAATATACAAAAATTTAAAGAAAAATTCTTTTATAATAAACTTTTAAGAATATATGCATGCATTGTACAATTCAATCTATAAAGCATCATTAAAATAACACATGTAATATGAATATGAAAATAATAAAGTATATTTTGATCTATGTCTAATATGTATTTAAAAAGGAAATTTTACCTCTGAATAAATTGTGTAAGACTGTTAAACAAAAATAGTATTAAAAAACATATGGATATTAAATAAAGAATAATTGGAATATATTTATCCTCAGTTAATTTTTTTAAAAGAAAATTATTTTAATTTTTCATTTATTATTTTTCTTAAAAAGAAATATATATATGTATATATTATATATACACTGTAATATTAATAAGGTACAAATCAACATTTTAATAAATTACAAAATGTATAATATCATTATGGAATATAAAAATATAAAGTTATTGTTATTTTATTAAGTAAGATAATTGGAGTTCATTGAATGAAACTTAAAAATTGTGTATAAGTTTGTATGGTTGTTAACATATTATAACATAAAATTACTACAAGGTAACTATGAAAGAAAAAAAATAAACAGAATATACTTTATAGAAACGACAAATATTGGAGAAATAGCAAAGAAAAAAATAAATAAATTATAATACTACCTTGTTGGATGGTGTTACAAGGTGGGTGGGGGTTAGTGGACTGAATTAGTCACCTCTATTCGCGCGATTATCACTGCTTGCTGCTGAAGAACTTCGCAGGCCAGATCGACCCTGATGTGAATCTATAAGCGCTGCTGCGAGATTTGACGATGCTGTGGATTGCACGCTTGTTGTAGATCCTGACAGTGTGATATTGATAATAATAATAATAACTGGTATCTAAATTCATGCAAAAACTATTAAAAAGAATTAAATTTTTAACTATAACTTATTTATAGCTTCTAGAACAAAAAAACTTTAACATTTCATAAAAATAAAAATTATTAATGGAATTTAATTACAACCATTTTTTCTAATTAAAAATTTTTTATAAATGTATATTTTTAAAAAAAATTTTTTAAACATAAAAACTAACCAGATATAGAAGAAGCTCCACTGAATGGACTTGGTGGCTGTACTGGAGAATATACATTAGCTGTAAATTCTTCAAATGTAGTAGCTTCTTTGTGATTCCGCATAACAGTATCAATAGATCTCGCTCTTTCTTCATAACTGAAATATTTTTTATTGATAAATATATATTATAAATAAATATATATATATATTAATATTATAATAGCAAAATAAAAATAGCACTTACTAATGTTGATATAATGTAAGTGTAGATCGTTTTGCTCTACTTGCTGCTAATGCTGTTGTTCTTACTAATCCAGGTAAAACTTTATCTTCAACAATACATTCATCAAAGAGAGGTCCAAAGAATGGAATTTCTGGTTTTCGAGATATTTGAATTCTATATAATTTATTGTGTAATGGATAAATTACTATTAAAACATCACAAAATTCAGTTGGTATAATATCTCGACGATAATCTCTCCAATGTTCAGACCAAACTATATGAATTTCATCATTACCAAGATGTCGTGTCTAAAAGAATTTTATTTGAAGTATCTTATATAATATACTTTTTTCATAAATTTTCATAAGACTGACCTTTTGTAATAAACTCTCGGGACTATCCGAAGGCATTCTTGTTGCTACATGAAAAAGAATTTCTGTAAAAGATGTTGCAAAATATGGTGCTGTAACCCCGGATGCTTTTCCAGGTACAAGACCTCCAAGAAAACCTGTATGTGATTCAAGTTCAACTTCCCAAGCCAATCTTGCAATAAAGTTTTCATATTCTTTACTAGCAGTGATATTACTCAATATAGAATTTTTATCTTCTTGTCCTTGACTAACATAAATCACTGCTATTTTATGTGTTTCTCTAGATCGTTGACTATCAAGATTTCGTAATTCTCGTAAAAGTTTTTCATTTTTGGATAATAAATGCAATTTTCTACGTTGTTCCCATCCAGATAAACCCAAATGTGAAAACAAAAGACGGCAGTGATGAAATGGCGCTGGAGGAGGACGACACGGTGGTGGACTTATTGCTGATGCACACATACTAAAAAAACCATCATTATATGAATAAATTTAAATATTATAAATAGTATTTAATACCAATATACCTGATGTGTTGACTCCAATTATTGATATGCTCTTGTTCAGCATTTCTTTGGCTGAGAATTGTGGCAATGGTTTCACTTTCGAGATAATGACCTTGCGGAGGATTAGCAGGTGCATTTAAAGCTATTTCTGGATTAGTTAATACTTCTGGGCTTGTATATCCTATATATTGTAAGAGCTAAAAAAAAAAAAAAAATAAAATTAATGCAGAAATATTAATAATAAATATTAATATTTTAAAAAAAATATTAAAATTAATAAATATTAATAATTAAAGCATTAAAATTACATCATCTAAATTATCCATATCACTTGCAGCATTTGCAAACGTAGGCAATATATGAGGTTCACGATGTCTTATTGTATGCCGAGGTGTACAAATTTGAGATGTTATAACACTACTTAAATCTTCTCCAGGTATTTTTGTTTTCCATTCAACTAAAAATATTAATTACTATAATTGAACATACTGAATACATAATATATAATTTTTATATATAATATAATTTTTATATATTTTTATTACCATGTTTCGTAAATACTACTGGCACATCATTGTCGATAAATGGTTGACTATATAAAATAGAACTATCCCAAGATGCTTTTCCTGCAAGATCTCGCAATAATACTCTTACTAATGATGGTGCAGTTGTTAATCCTGCAGTAACACCTCCTCCAGGTGCATCTAATGCTGCTAATTCAACAAGTGACATTATTACAGAATTTGATAACATTAACAATTGTATATTTGGTGCATGAAAAATTGCAGAAGATAGTTCATCTCCATCGATTCCTGGTACATCATCTAATTCGACAACTAATGAAGATAATCTTGCAGCTCCAATGCCCATTGGAAAATGTCCCAAATGATTTATTAAATGCATCATTACCTAAAAAAAATTTAATTCATATTTATATTTATAAATAGTTAATATAAAAAAAATATCAATTAAATCCTACCATCTTTGCTGCTAATTGAACAGACTGAATATTGCCTCGTCGAGGTGATTTTGCACAAACTTCATCAGCTAAATTATCCAAAGTAATATCAAGATCAAAATCATCATTTTCATCTTCATTTTTATTTGTTTGTGGTGCATCTTTATCGATTTTATCTTGTACTATGTTATCCAAAACCTGTGATATTTTTTATATTTGTTTGATATACAATATGATTATACAAATATTTAAATTTAATAATTTAATAATCTAAATTAAATATTAACTATTTAAGTACAAAAATTTTATATATTAAATTTATACAAATCCTTATTATGTTACTAACTGTAAATAAGGTCATTAAGAGAGGTTTTTCTTGAAATACGCGTAATAAAACAGATGGACCAAGATGCATAGCCCATTCGCCTAAACAAAACAACATTGATATCGTCAAAGGACCGCGTCTTTCTTGAGTACTCATATATCCAAGTGTTTCCGATAAAATCTAAAATATATTAATAAAATAGATACATATATCAATCGAATTTTAAAATGATTTCTTCAAACTTACTTGAATTATTTTACATGGCACATTTGGATACAATTCTAATAAGATGTCTGCTTTATCACATAACAACAGAAGAGAGTCACATGCCACTTGAGCAACAGTAGCATGACTAGCCTATAAAATAAGAAAAAAAATTTTGTTAATTAAAATATTGTTTGTATTGAACTTTTTAATTTTTTATGATTTCATTCTAATTAGTATTATGCAAGGAAATAGTTAATGAGTAACACGTATAATAGAGTGATTCTCATTCTCTGATATTAAAATCTTTTTCCTCCAAGTTGATCAATCTATTCAATCTATTAAAAAATTTATTTTAAAAAATTTTAGATACATATTTCTTGATGAACTGAAGCATTTAAAGAAAAATAAAAAGTTATGTATATCTATAAATCACTGTAATGTATAAGATAATAAATTAAACAAAATATTACTAGACGTTTTTACACATATAACTTAGCAGTACACCATGCAACGTTGATGACACTCCTAACAGACATGAAGACATCAGATGACAGATAAATACTGTAACAACACATAATAAGAAATTGACACAAGTTAATTATAGAAAAACTACCTGATCCATTAGTGGATAATAGAAACCAGTTCTGCGACGCTTTGCTCCTTGTATCCGCTGTCAATCAGACTTAGTGGAAGGATGCTAAATTTCTCACTACCATTATTACATATATACTATTTTTAACAATATATTATAAATAATAGTGTTCACTATTTAACTAAAAACTATAACCCAAATAAAAAATATATTAATAACTATAAAATAATTATGTATACTTTATAACATGCAATCTATCTTATATTAAAGAAAATTGACACAAAAATTATTCTTCAAATTATTCTAAAATTTATCTATAATGAATTCGATAGACTTACTTTAAGTGCCAAAAGAAGAACAGTAACAGCTTCTGGAATCCTTGAATGCTGATTTTTATAACACAATTCTCTATATATAAACATAGCAATACTTGAAAGAGCTATGCATCTTGCAATACCAGTTGGTTCTCGTCTACAACTTTTTAAAAGGATCGTGATTATATGCTCCTAAAATAAAATTTGTATCAAATATTTTTAATAATCTAATATCAAATTAATAATTATTGCGTTTTAATACTTTTGCATCTGGACATGTCATAGTCACAATATCGGCTGCAGTAGGCTGCAATACAGGTAATTTAATTGTAGTAGCTGGTAATGACAGTAATGATCCGATTATTGATACAGCTTCAGTTCTTGGTGCCTATAATTTACAATTTAATTTATAATTAAAAATTCTATAATATTTATTAACTTATTATGAAATTTATATAATACCTCAATGTCTTGAGTACTCAATATTACATTAGCAGCATGAATATAATCCAAAATTAAAAGACTAGATCCAGGAAGATTCAAACTGAATAATCTAGGACCAGTATATTTGACCAGTACATGTAATACTTTATTATCATTACTAACAATGCCACTATGGACTGCACGATAAAAAAGAGTTAAATGCTGTTTTGGTAAATTAATATCTTGTGGTTGAACTGTTAAAAGACAGATCAAACGATAGGCTGCCAATTTACCAACTTCATATTGACTAGGAAGTTGTATCGCCTAAAAATTCAATTACATAATATTTTAATAGTATTATTTTAATACTAATGTAAAATAAAGCAAAAATATATTATGTATTAAAAATATTAATTTAAAAAATTAATATCAACCTTGAAACACCATGGAGCAATGACTGTCAATGGAGGTATAAGTTCTGGAGCTGGTGGAGTTGCCTGATTATCTCCAGATACACCTTGATTCAAGCGAATCTAAAAATTATAAATGATGAATATAAAAATATTAATGATGATATAAAATATTAAAACATATGGATATAAATATTTTAAAGTATATGATACTATGCTTTTATAAGTGTCTGCGTAAGTTGAACAAGGTAATCCATAACTTGTCCATGAAGGATAGGATCTTGAATATTATTTACATCTCCCAATGCTGATAACATACGACGCCATAATACGACTGCGACATCAGGTAACCATCCGCGAACACCACCTCCAGCCATAACAGATCTCCTTTCTGATGCATCATTTGTATCTATAAATTAACAAAAAGAAAAAGAAAAGAATATAATAATAAAAATTATATATAAGATAAGGATAAAAACAATTAATAAAAGTAAATTATTTCTTAAAAACTTTTTAATCAAAATTATTTACAACTTATTAGTAATCAATATAGTTATATATAATAATTAGATATAGATATATTATATAGTATAGATATATTATAGATATATATACAGATATATTATAAAACCAATGAAAATATGCAAATAATACAAAAATACTTTAAATTATGTATAAATATATTATTATTAATAATATTATTATTAATATTATAAATAGAAAATATTTGTCACATAAATAATTCATTAATAAAAAAATATAAGTAAAATATATTGAATACAATAATGCATTATTACAATTATAATTTTTATTATTGTCATCATTAAATATAATATTTTACTATTAATATGTATATTTATGATTTTTTGCAAAAATAAAAAAAAACATAAAAAAGATATTTTTTAAAATTATAAAATATACACATTATAAAAATATTCATATTGTTATGCAATTAAAAATTATGTTTTCATATCTTGATATAAATGTCAAAGAGCAGCAAATGATATACTTACCGATACTACTACCGTCAATATTTTCTATCTGTATTGGACTATCCTTATTGCTATCAACTCCACTGCTCGGTGTTGGAGAAGGACAACGTGGTGATGGTGGTTCGCTATCGACTATAACAATGCTATCCAAAGATTTAGCACGTCTGTTTGGTAACATTTTCCGACCAGTTGCTGATGACGAAGTAGCACCATTTGACAGTAGTCGGGCCATATCTTGCTCTATTGATAGGGGGAGTACTGTAGAAATTTGTTTATACTTAATATATAAATAAATCACAACCACGGATAGAAACGTTTGTATTGAATAAATTTGAATAATGTTTTACTGTCTAAAATCAAGAGAAAATATGAATAAAAAAGATATCGCGAATATCGAGAATAAAAAAATAAAAAGAGATATATGAAATGAAATGTCTGGCAGATGCTAGACTAGTTATTTTTAAATCAATGTCAGTGTCAAAGCAAAAAAAAAGAGAGTCAGTTATAAATAAATTATACGCATTATTAGCAACATAGATGGCACTACTAAATAATAGAGATTATTAAACTATAAATTATACAAATAAAAAACTTAGCGTTTGATCTTCAGTAAGCTTACCAGGAATACCACTATGTACAGTATGTGTACGATTCCTATGAAGCTTCGTACGTGCTTTTCCATTGTATATTGTATTATCGCTTGCACTACGAGGAAGAGGTCGTATTTTTCTTAAATCTCGCATCG